TGCAGCGGTGACAAAATTAGCTGCTCTGCTGTGCCCACTGCCTTGGAAGGTAAGTGAAGCTCATTAGAGAGGTTGGCTCTGTTAGTGGCAGAGTAGGTTGGCTGCCTGGTTTGTCAGGGAGCTCAGAAAAATACCAGCTTTTCAAAGAGGGAAACAAACAACCCATTTTCTGGCACGTACTAGGCAAGAGGCCTGCAAATTTTGCACTGACCTTGGCATAAAAAATGTCGAAGTAGATTCAGTTTAGTCATAAAGAAAGTGGGAGCTTCAGGAGTGCTCAGCCAGACACCTCCCCAGCATGGAACAAGCTGGAGGAGCTGCTGGGAAGATGCTGGTTGGAAGATCCACAATGAGCACCTGCTCCCAGGAGATTTGCCACTGCAGCAAGTCATCCTCAGAGCTCTGGGTTCTTTGGAATGATCTGGTACTCCTGCCCTGTCTATGCTCTGGGTTTTTGCTTTCATTTCCCCCTCTGGTACTCCAGAAGCAGAGGCTGAGCAGTGGGAACGCGCCTGCGACACGCTGCTCATGTGCATCGTCACCGTCCTGAACCACGGCCTGAGGAACGGAGGGGGCGTGGGCGACATTCTGCGGAAGCCGTCGAAGGACGTGAGTTTGGGCAGCACGCGGGACCCCTTTCTTCTGCCACGTCCTGCTGCGTTTCCCGCTGTGCAGCTGCCCTCCCTCCCAGGGAGCTGTGACACTTCCAGCTCTATCCCCCACACTGCCCTCCTGTGTTCTCCTCCTCTCTTCCACTATCACACCTTTTATTCCTCCTACCTGGCACCCCAGCCCATGGCCCGTGTGACGAGGCAGCTCGGTTGCAGAGGCGAGAGAAGGGGTGCAGGAGACACACGTTTATCCCTTTCATCCACTACAGGAGTCCCTGTTTCCTGCTCGGGTTGTCTACGACCTCCTCTTCTTCTTCATTGTCATTATCATCGTCCTTAACCTCATCTTTGGGGTCATTATTGACACTTTTGCTGATCTGAGGAGCGAGAAGCAAAAGAAGGAAGAAATACTGAAGACCACCTGTTTCATATGCGGTGAGCGCTGGGACCTCGGTGTCCAGGAATTGCCCCGAAGCTCTTCCTCTCTTCTAAGGGTTGAGGGGAAGGAAGGAGTTTCAGCTGGTTTCTGGTTTTCATTTGGTTCACAGCAAAACTTAAATCTGTTCAGGGATGAGTCACTGCAGTGTGAGGAGGCTTAAACAAGGACACAAAGGGAGAGGGGAAATGATCTCTGTTGTTCCTCACCTTCTGTTAACGAGGTGCTAAAGCAAACCGCTGCGTGGTGGAGCTCGCGTGGCTGTGCCTCTCACTCCTGAGACCATCACTTAGCCAGTGAAAAAAGCACGATATTACTAAGGAAATAAAATACACGAAAATGTTCTGGAATGCTTTCAGTCATAGGAAGGCATCAAAAAAAAAAAAGGGAAAAACCCAATGTCTAGCTCTTTTTTCCTTAAGATATCTGCTGGGTGCATTTTATGCTTTTAGACACACAGGCAGGAAGCACAACTTAGTAGTATTTGAGATAGATGCCTTCCTAATAGACAACTGGGGTATTTTGCCCGTTTTGGATGCTTGGTGTGTGCTAAATGCCAACTATTTATTAAAAGCACATCTTGAAAGTCACAGCTGGCAGAGGATGCACTCATCTGTACTTCTTTTCGCATTTCTTTGCTTGCTCCCATCTTACCTTCTCCTCCCCTCTCTCCACCTTCTCCGTTCTTGACTGCCTTCCCCAGGACTCGAAAGGGACAAGTTTGACAACAAGACGGTGTCCTTCGAGGAGCACATTAAATACGAGCACAACATGTGGAACTACTTGTACTTCATCGTGCTGGTGCGAGTGAAGAACAAGACAGACTACACAGGGCCGGAGAGTTACGTGGCGCAGATGATAAAGGTACGTGTCCTCGCAGGGCAGCTCTCGCTATCGCAGCCTGCCTGCCCCGAGGAAATGGTTGAGAACAATGGGCTTGCCAAAGAAAAACAGTTTTGAGAAGGAGCTTTTGGAAAATATTTAATAACGTTGTTGCGCCTTAGTTCGTTCTTGGCTGGTTATTTGCGCTTTGCAATCTCGGCCAACAGCACGTTGTCTGTTTGATGTTTTGTACTGTGTGTTTAAGGGTTGAACCAAGGGCAGAACCAAGCAGTAGAGAGTGTGACTTCAAGGTGATTTCAAGGCAAGAAGAGAGGGAAAGGAAATTTAGAAAATAAAAAACTTCTGAACTTGAGCCCAGAAAGCGCTAAGAAAAAAGCTAGAAATGAAAATTGATGGAAAATTTGCAAAGATACAGACAAGACGAGCCTTTCGAGAATCTCTTCAATCCCTAAGCAGAGGCAGGCTTCCTGTTAAATCCTACTAGGTCTCTTCCCTCCTCCTCACCCCTTCTCCCACTCCCATTCTCTACGGTCACCTTTCCAGAACAAGAACCTTGACTGGTTCCCCCGGATGCGAGCCATGTCGCTGGTCAGCAATGAAGGGGAAGGGGAACAGAATGAGATCCGAAATCTTCAAGACAAACTCAACACCACGATGAAGCTGGTGTCCCATCTCACCTCCCAGCTGAACGAGCTAAAGGAACAGGTACTAAACGCTTTTAAATTAAAACAGGAACACTTGAGGAACACCTGAGTGTAGAAACCCGCTGCCCTTACCAAAATAGACACTGATTGCGAGGAACAGGAGCCAGAACCAGTCCAAGCCAGTACAACTTCAGATAAAAGGCAAAGGGCTCCTGCAGCTCTTTTTTGGGGGGGGGTCAGGGATGCTCAGGACATGTACTGTTTGATACTTGACATCCTCATCAGCTGGAGTCCAACTCACAGGGTTTTCTGGCAGATGCTTAAAGCAGCCTTGTCCGTCACCCGCTGGAGGAGCACGTTACGGATGGAAAGGCAGCCTGGTTTCCTACCTCACTTGTGTCCCTGTTTGAACTCTAGATGACGGAGCAACGGAAGCGCAGGCAAAGGATGGGCTTTGTGGACGTCCAGAATACCATGAACCACTAAGACACAGAAGAAGCATCAGCCTCACCCACCGAAGGTCGACACAGACCTACCAGCTAGCGAGGCTGCTTGTTCCTGGGTTCCACGCGTGGACGTCGCTGTTGGAGAAAGATGGACCATGCGGAAGGGCTTCCCAGTCCACGTTCTCTTTAGATGCTTGTAAGCAATTCCAGAACCGGGGACTGGCCAGGATTCCTCACCATACCTGGACCCACACGTTACTCTAATGCCCTTGTAGGAAGATAAATTAGACCGGACTTGTATTCCTCATTGCAATAACTCTTTATTTTGCAAATGTGGAGGGTTGTATCTTTATCTCCATGTGCTACATCCTGATGGCCTCCACCTCAGGTGTAGTGTAACTAGCTGTAGGGCTGCAATATTTAACTTATTCCAAGAGTGGCACTAGTACATGTGGATCTTTGCAAACCAGCCCTCGTATTTGCTGTACCTGCTCCATGCTGATCCCTCTCCATTTAAAGAATTCTGTTCATCACTGTGGTGCAGTAAAGAGGAGCTAAACTCCAGGAGATGGATTTGTTAAATTAACTCGCCAGATGAGGATGAGTAGCCAAGCTTGTACTAGTGTGAACTAGTCTTTTGCCTTCTGTGGACCACGAATATCTGGGCAGTAGTAGTAGGAGACTGCAGGTTTACAGGAGTTCACTGTGAAGGGGTGTCCTGTGTTTTAGTTTCATCTCTGGTGTAATGTTTTACTTTGTTTTGTTTTGTTATTGTTGTTACTTAAAAACTGAAGTGTAAATTGCCTTAACTAAATTAAATACAAAATCCTGTTATAATAAAAACTTAAACAGGGTAAAGAAAGCGCCCTTCCTGTGCACTCTGGTACGTAATGAGGCTGTTATAAATAGAAATACAGAACAATCCAAGGACCTGAAGCCAAACCAGGCCTGTATTACCCAACGTGCTCCACAACCCCATGCTCTCAGCTCCAGATGTTAAACTTTAAAATGTAGTATGATGTTCCAGTCAGAAGATGAAGAACACCACTACCACGAAGAACTACCTTGAACACCAGCCTTGTTTTCTGAAGCTTTGGATTAGAGCCTGCTGCAAAGTTTCAAATTCTTTCACTACTTGCCAGGAAAACACTATTCAAATACATAAAAAGGAGCAGCTGTTGGTGCTGCCTCGAGCCAAGCCGAGTCCTGGCATAGCTGTGTTCTAGACACTCATCCTCCCCAAGCCAAGCAGTGCTGTAGCCACCCCAACTCCAGTCCTGTGCCTCTGCCTCCCAAGAATAGACACTGATGCAAGCACTAAAGCTTTAAAAAGGAATTAAAAATAGGCCACAGCAATGGACTAATCACACTTGAAATTTGTTTATGGCCCTATATACCAACATGTCATTAAAACCTATCTTTATCCCTCAGATCTGCAGTGACACATACAGAGCCTTCTCCCTTCTCACCGAGGGAAATCTGCACAGATCTAGCTCGACCAGCAACACACCGCTGCACCATTTGCCTGAAATCTCAAACTCTTACACTGCTCCACCGTGGTAAACGGTCACCCTCAGTCCTCTCCTGTGTCTTCTCAAAAGGAAAACAAATGCCACGAGTGAAGTTATCCCTCCCTCAATTTCACTGTTACCAGAAACACAAGCACAGCTGCATTTTCGTCACTAATGTTATCTTCACAACCAAATTTAAAGCTAACATTGTTGCACCTACTTGCTCTGTGCATCTCCTGCTCCGTTTTTCATAATACAAAGGATCTGGTCTAACACCACAAAGTCTTTTCCCCTACAGTACATTGCTCCGATACAGTTTCAGCACAGATGTGTTAAGGTATGTCCTAGATTTCCAGGAAAAAAAAAAAGAGGGGGCACTATATATGAAGGGTGTAAGGTGCAGGTCTGAACAAAAATGCTGTTGCTAAGAGGAATAAATGGTTTTATTCATCATGGCAACATAGAGTGCTTTAGGAATATATACAGTAGAGAATTTGGGAGTTAGCCTATCACTTCGAGTCCTCTTCAGGTTTCTTGGCATAAAACTTTTCTCGCAATTTTTTCCATGTCCCTTTTTTCATGTCTTCCATCTGTTTCAGAATGTCTGCAAAAGGAGAAGAGAGAGAGATGAGGAAAGGGGAAGAAAAGCAAAGGAATGAAAGCCATCTTGTAACAGCTTTGCCTTACATATATTTTCCTTTTTTTTGACTTTTCATCTTAATGAATTTCTATTTCAGGGCCTGAGGCAAGTTTGTTTTCCCTTCCAATCAATTGTGAAGGGAGTCCCTTATCTCTTAACAACTAATATTCAGTTTCCACGCACTGCAATCAAAGTTAGGAACTGGAGCAGAACAAAACTGTGCTAGCTTCCTACATTGCACTTAATAAACGATCTGGCTGAGAGTATTTCTGCATCGAGGTACCCTGTTTTCTCTCAAAGTCTAATACAAAAGAAGAAATACTGCAGAGAATTTGAGCATTGTGAAACAGCTACATTTTGGAATGATGTAGCAAACGTGCCTTTCTTTCACATAGTTCCTGCTATCCGATCATAGAATCGTTAGGGCTGGAAGGGACCTTCAAAGGTCATCTAGTCCAACCCCCCTGCAAGGAACAGGGATATCTCCACCTAGATCAGGTTGCTCAGGGCCTCATCCAACCTGGCCTTGAACGTCTCCAGGGATGGAGCATCCACCACCTCTCTGGGCAACCTGTTCCAGTGTTCTACAACTCTCATGGTAAAAAATTTTTTCCTAATATCCAACCTGAATCTACCTCCCTCTATTTTAAAACCATTACCCCTTGTCCTATCACAACTAGCCCTCCTGAACAGCCTCTCCCCATCTTTCTTGTAGGCCCTCTTGAGGTACTGGAAGACCGTTATAAGATCCCAAAGGGCCCTTGCAAACCCTTGGCTGTTCCTGCCCGCTGCAAAATACAATCAACTTTTTGCCCTGATAGATTACTGAAGATGTCCTCAATTATTCCTGAACTTACTCCTAGTCAAATATCCTATTATACTTGCACTGCAGTCCCGTTCTGTCCTTTAGTCACAGGTGTTTAGTCAAAGCGATGCAGTGAACACCACAAAGACTAGAATGTACTTTATCTCCTGCACTGGCTTATTCTCAAATCAAGCACAGTATTAGTACCTGTTGCTAGAATCATCTTGCAGTCTTCTACTGTCACTCCAGTGAAGCTTGTGTCTTTCAGGCGCGGATACTTCACAAGCGAGCAAGTAGGTGAGAGAAGGAGAGAGAAACAGATGTTACTTGTAGTGCATTAAAAAAGGTAAAAAATGTCACCATACAGTAGAGTTCAAGCTCATTTTCAGTCAAGCTCTAAGAACTCTATTCATCCATACCAAGAACTATCGTCTGCACTGCTCACACATGTCACAGAGGCCAAGGTCCAGCCTTCCCGGAGCGACCAAAGGCACCAGATAGTGCTGCATCCACCTGGATGCAGACACTGGATGCAGACAGACCACTCATTTGTCTGTTAGACATTCCCAGAAACCCTGCTGGGACGAGGCAGCCCACTGCAGTACGAAGTGACTCACCTCCCAAAAGAGAGATGATGGCTAATGCCAAAGCTCACCTTGTTTTTGTAGTAGTTGGTGTGGATTCTGACTAAGCTCTCGTACATTTGGTCACAGGCCTCAGGGTCAGCAATCTGGAAAGGGATAAAAGTATCACAGAGATCCTAATTTAAACCTCCACAGCAAAAGCCACCTTGTTTCAAGGCTTGTGAAAAGGCAAGTCAAGGAGCAACTGAGCTGACTTAGTGCAATGTAGGATGCTGGTGACCCCTATTACACTGCTCAAGAATGCAGGTAATTTTCTCTCCCTTCCACTTCTCACCAGCTTGGCCTACAAGAATGAGGCTTGTGATTTCCAGAACGGACCTTAAACTGCTCAAAAAGATCTGACAGATCAACTGTGAACACACAGTTAACAAGAGCACTGCTGGACAATTCTCAAGTTTATTGGCAGCTGTTGCGAAATCTTGAGACTCCCTGCTCAAAGGCCAGTTTTGCTGCCTGTTTTATTCTGAAGCATCAAACGGGATATCGTACTAGGATGCAAGTTGGAAAACCCTGATGCAGATTAAAAATAGTTTGTAACTGATTAGGGAAAAGCAGCATGAAAGACACTGAAGAGCTTGTGAAGGGTAAATGGATTTCTGTTTTGGTCTAGTAAGTTGGAAAGATTTTGCTAACACCTAAACCTCTGCTAGGTGCCTCGGACGGGTGCACCTGCCTTGCAGAGCCGTCTATTTAGCAGCGAGGACAGCACTTCATCTTGGTTTTCTGTTTGACAATGGGAGCCAACCCAACCAGAACGCTGCATCGCTGCCCAGTGACATCAAACATAAAAGATTCAAATGGATACATGATACATTTCAGCTCTGGAGTCCCCAACACAAGAAGGACAAGGAGCTGCTGGAGCGGGGCCAGAGGAGGCCACGAAGATGATCCGAGGGCTGGAGCACCTCTGCTATGGAGCCAGGCTGAGAGTTGGGGCTGTTCGGCCTGGAGAAGAGAAGGCTCTGGAGTGATCTTATTGCACCTTCCAGTACTTAAAGGGGGCCTACAGGAAAGCTGGAGAGGGGCTTTGGACAAGGGCGTGTAGTGATAGGACAAGGGGCAATGGATTTAAACTGAAAGAGGGCAGATTTAGATCAGATATAAGGAAGAAATTGTTCCTTCTGAGGGTGGTGAGGCACTGGAACAGGTTGCCCAGAGAAGCTGTGGCTGCCCCATCCCTGGAAGTGTTCAAGGCCAGGTTAGATGTGGCTTTGGGCAACCTGGTGTAGTGGAAGATGTCCCAGCCCATGGCAGGGGGGTTGGAACTGGATGATCTTTGAGGTCCCTTCCAACCCAAACCATTCTATGATTCTATTCTATGAATAAGAACAGTGCCCACAGAAACATGTCAGGATAAAACGACAGGGCTCATCTGCCCTGGGGACATTGGCACGGGCTCAGCACAAGGCAGGTAATGCCTCCTCTGTGCAAACGAGGAAAACGAAGGAAAGGTTCTCCTTATGCAGCAGGTAATGGCTGCTGCAGGAGAGAGGAAATAGGGACAGACAGACTTCAAAACCACCACCACACTGCAGGTGATCTTCAGCTTAATTTATCTTGCATTCACATTTCAAATGACCCTGCTGATGGCAGAAATAGCTATTAAATGGGTAGCAGAGACAGTCAAACCAGCAAACCTTATTCCAGGTGAATAAAAACAGACACTAGACTGACCAAGTGTTCTTTATGGCTCCAGTTCTTTTCTCCTGCATTCCTCCTGCTGTCTGCCAGTACATTTCCCTTTGCTGTACTAAGCCTTTCCACATATAAACGGACATCAGTGCTGCAGGCATCCATTTCCAAGATGAGTGGCAGCTTTGGGATCGTGCAGCCAATCGGAGCAGCACGTCCAGCTGTCCTGAGCGTTTGAAAAAGCAATAAGCAGTTTCCAAAATGCCTGCTGCAGCCTGTTCCGGTGACCAGTACAGTATTAGGTGCCCGTAATGGCCCCTTGAAGCAGAAAACACATATCTGGAACAATGTTTTTATGCTAAGAAAGGGCACATTTACATTCCACAGCCACACCTCCACGCCTGTAAAAGTCTGCAGCCCAAGAGGAGCGTCAGCTTCTCTAATTTATTTCAGCACCAAAGCCTGAACTGCAACACAATTACAGCCGTAGAATCCCGTTTTACAACCGCTGCAACCTGACACCGTCAGGCAACGCTGCGTTGCACTATCACCACCTGAAGCAAAACACACTAATTAACTCGATTCCAGCACGGTGCTGACATTCACAATGCTTTGTATCCCACTGCCACAACCACGGGAACGGGCTTCTCCGAAGCACGTAGTGTGAATGGTGGAAGAATCTGGCACACGCCGCAGCTTGTCCTACGTGAGGAGCACCCTACGTGGCTGCTGGGGCCCGTGTTTTGAAGGCCTGACGTGGGCCCTGAGGTGACCAGAGGGGAGCTCTGAGGGGCTCTGCGGACACCCAGGGAGGCTCGTTTGGAGCAGAGCCCCACAGGCACAACGTGCTCCTCAACTGTAACCCTGAGAGCTCCGCGGCGGGGGCACTGGGGGAAGAAACGCCCGTGTCAGCACCAAACTCACAGAATCACAGGATGGTTTGGGTTGGGAGGGA